TTGTTTCACAAGGCTGTCCTTCGGAGCGCAGATCCCAGAAAGATTCAATAATAAGTGTTACAGGAGAAAAGGTTAGGGGGGAGCCCGGGCCCCTCGGGCTCCCCCCTTGCCTACGGGCCTGTAGTGCTCTTAATGAATATGATCTTGTCTTAGCCGAAGATGATAGTATTGTATGTTATTGTTATTGTTTTTATTTTGGTTTTATTTGTTTAATCATTTATTGATTTCTTTTAGAATCGTATGATTGAAAGTTTACAATTATTTAAATCTATTTGTAATAATCGATTTTTTCGTCAAGCTGGAATGATATTATTTCTAAATAAAAAAGATTTATTTGCTGAAAAATTACGTTTTTCATCTATTAAAATATGTTTTCCTGAGTATACGGGTTAGTTTGAAATATTTTATTCGAAAAGAATTTTTTTTGGTTTATATTTAGGTCTTAACACATATGAACCATCACTTAATTATATTCAAGAACAATTTGAAAAAATGGATTTACGAGAAAAAGTAAATGGTCATCAAAGAGAATTATATACCCATATTACATGTGCAACAGATACCGAAGCAATGCAATTTGTCTTTGATGCTATATCAGATATGATTATACAAACAAATCTTATTCATGCAGGAATATTTTAATAATAAAAGTTATCTTTTGTTGATATATGTATATATATATAACATTGTAATGAAAATTTTGTGCAATAAAGTAGTGAAATTTTTGCTCAAAAATTATTAATGAAAGATCTTATGTTCTATTTATATATATATTTTTTCTGTTGTTATTTTGAAAATAAGAATAAAATATTACGATAAGATTAGTATACGTTATGAAAGAATTTTTTTATAGACTAATTTAGATTAGTCAGAAATACAATAAAAACAAAACAATGACTGCTAGTTTAATTATTTGTAGACAAAAATGATGTAGGCTAAATACTATTAATAACACAAGACCAAAGTTGCGACTCGGGCTCAAATTAACGTCATTAAGCACAATAAAAAGCCTTGTTTATGTGAAAAAATGGTGCACGGAGTAGTGCTCTGCACTATGTTGTCCGGCAAAGCATTGCAAAGTGTTCCAACTATTTATAGAAATAAAACTTTTTTTATGATGAGCAATGAGATAAATTTTGGCCCAGGTCAAAAATTGTGTAACCACTTGCAAAATAAAAAAAAAACAGTCGATAAGACAGTATAAATCGTTACAAATCATCTTCTCTATAGGCCATAAGAAAAAGTAAATGTAACATTCATGTTTTTTTCGCGATGGTAAAAGTGAAAAAAGAATATTGAATTAATATAGATGCTTTCATTTATTTTTCAATCAAGCGTACAGAACGTCATTTAATGAAATGGACTTTGAGCAGTAGAAAAGCACATCATAATTGACACCTACACCCTTAAATGCTACTAATAAATCTCACATGCCAAAGTCTTGATTGTCATGCCTAAACGAGTTGCCGATTATTTATTAGTAAATCATATGAATACAATAGCAGATTTCGAAGCTTATATGGCTCACAAATCAGAAATCTTGCTGTGACATGTTCTACGGACTTTTCTCTTTACCGCCTTCCAACAAAAAACAAAACTTTATTAAAGAAAGAGAACTGCTAGATGGTATAAACAACGTTTCAATGCCATTATTCTTTCTATTGAGATTTATTTGGCTTCGACAAACGAACGACTCCAATCGAACACAGAGAAAAACAAAATTCAATTTTTTTTGTCGACTCCTTGTCAATACAAAAGAATGTTGCAAAAAATCAGGTAATATTCATCATACTGACTCTCAAACACGAATATTTTTTATGAATCTTGTCGCGATTAGAAAAACGCGATGTCTTCCAGGGCAAATATTGCGATTGTCATAAGCGGTCGTATGCAGCTATGGTGAAGGACCATTACCGTCGTATATGATTTCGTTTGTCATCATATGAACAGAAATTCTTCCGCAGTGAGATAAGTGGGATATTATCTTTTTCATGTCTCTTCCTCATCATCCGTACATATAGCAAAAATAATTTATTTCAAAAACTACAACATAATTTTATTGTATAAAATCATAGTTACCATCGATGATAAAATTAAAATAAATTAAACAATGTAGACTTTTCCATAGAAGTACTTAATCTTTTTTCCTCCAGATAGCTCTCATCACTGATAGTATCATAGATACTAAACAAGTATACAGCAGACCTCGAAATTGGGTTACTTTTTGATGGCCTGGCCCGACTTAGAATAGCACTATTGAAAGTATATTTCTTCTACAAAAAGCATTTCTATATTATCAAACTGTACAAACACTACGGTCATTTATAAAAACATGGTAAAACTTGTATTATCACAGTGATCATAAGTTGTGTAAAATCCGACAATGTTAATGTTTTAAAAAAGAACACTAGTTAATTTTAGTACATCATGGCTAACCTAGTTACACTTCAGTGGAACCCATGCTACTTAATGCTTATGATAATGTGCTTAGGTTTGTGCGTAGATGAACAATATAAGTGAACCAAATAAATTCTGTTTTTAATGCCAGATATATAAAGCTTTCAAACAGATTGCAGAATAGAGATTCCAAGTTATGATCAGCTGCAAGATACAAAGTCCATCTAAGAAACTTTAAGGAAAAATCAGAAAAAATCGAGTATTTTTTGAGAAAAAAATTATTAGAATGATGCTGTTTTATTCTGATTGAAGTATATTTTTTCAGTTTGAAAGATTGATTTCAATTCATTTTAGTCTCTTTTGATCCATTAATACAGTTTTGTACATTAAAAATCTCTCTTAAAATTCGATTAAGAAAGGCTGAAACTAATAAAAATCTACTTTCAAAGTGAAAAAACTCAGATTTTGTTTTTTTTTATTCAATTTGTTTGATTTCAATGGATTTTTAACTGGCCACGAAATTTTTAAAAAAATTACATTTTTTCTATTTTCTGACGTGAAAACTCTGATGAAAATAGAGATGAAGTGCGGGTCGGACGCCTAAGAAAATTTTTGGTCCGCCCGGTCACCGTTCTATGTGGGTGAGCCCGCCTGGCCTGGTAGAAAAACATGTTTGGGCCAGACTGTGTCGGGTGGCCCGTTTCGAGGCCTCGTATACAGGAAAGATTTCTTTCTTATATCTTTTGATGCATCATCCTTATTTTTGCACAACATCATATATCGAAGTGTTGTGAGTGATAAAAAATAAAAGTCTTCATAGAGACGAGCATCTTAACTCGCAACTAAGCTACGACTCCATACGACACCTGTTTGCCTTCATTGTAAGCAACAATCTTATTTGAACGTATATCGGTGTATACAGCAACTCTGCTTTTGTTGTATTTAGTTGTATATGACCATGTACGATCGTGGTTTTTCAACCAAGGTTGTTAGTAATGTTGCAAATACTTCATGTGTGTCCAGCCATTTTTTTGAAGAACCAGCAAAACATTTTTTTGCTTACTTTTCTTCCAGAATCACAAAAGTAAGGCTAGGTGTCACTTATACCAGGAATGGATACAAAGGTATTTGAAAGTTTTTGGATCAAGTCGAAGTAACAACCTATTTATCTGAGTCTAAAGTTTTCGCTACCAAACTCCCGTTTGGGACTGAAGTCATCATCTGAGTACCAGTTAGTGTCTATAAGGTATGTCAAGTTTTAATGATTTAGAGCTTCACTCTCTTAATATATAGTAAAGAATGGACAGATCGCTTTGTCAATAGAAATAGTACAGAACAACAACAACAACAACGATGTAAAAATATTGTCCGACAAAATGTGGTAAGTTATTTAAGATAAAATCCGCTTCTTTTCATGTTCTACAATTACGACTTACGAGGGAACATTCCCAAGTGTCACATTGCTTTTGAGCTGAGAGTATGAGTATCATATAGGCCCTAATGATCTATGAATAACCTGAAAAGAGTTCGTGCTACTAGCTTATTGTTGCCG